AATAGAGACTATAGCAACAGAACCACCAGAAAAGGAGCTAGGAGGTGACCTAAAACAAACACTTGTAGGTTTGTCTACAATTGAATCTGTCCCCTCTGTTTGCATCCCTCTGTCTGCAGACCAGAAGGAAGGAAGTCGAATCAAGTCCCTAATCTATCCCACTCTTACCAGCCTTTGTGTGGAAGGGCCGTGTGAGGTGTAGGGCATGCCACGGCCACAAGTCTGACACCACGGTGGAGCCTGGGAAGTGCAACTCTCCTGCTTCCATTGGTCATTCCAGCTCCTCCACGTGGCAGCCAGATTAATGGCTTCTTTTTGGCACTTGGGTTTGGATTTTATTTTATTCTTTTTCCCATAGCCTTTAAGGCTTTGTGTTACCTCCCTGCCTCCCCACCCCACCCCACACACACTATGCTCAGTCCATATTGGTCTGTCAGCTCCTCAAATACTCAGGACCTTTCCAGAGGCAGCATTTTCCCCACGTTTTTCCCGCTGCTTAGATCAGCTTTGTGCCACCGGCATGGCTGGTTTCTTACCTTCTAGGGCTCAGCTTTAAATGGCACTTTCTGAGATGATTTTTCTGGCCACTCTAAATACCTAAGGTGAGGTCACCCTGTTGATTCTCTAGCTCAGGACTTTGTTTCTTCATAATGCCTACTTAATTTTTAATTGTTTTATACCTGTTTAACTTTATATATTATATGTTTAGGCCCAGTTCAGCAAACATTTTTTAGAAAGAGCCATGTAGTACGCTACATCCTGTCTATGTCACGTATTACTGTTTGTTTTTGAAAACCCCTTGAAAGTGTAAAAAACATTATTAGCTCCTGGGCTGTACAGAAACAGGCAGCAGACTAGATTGGCCCCTACGCTGTAGTTTGCTGGCTGCTTGGATTTGTTGAATTCAAAAACAGGTGTCCCCGAGATAGGCTTAGAATCAGTGCCATTGCTCAGAAGATGCATGTGAGCTATTCCTGTGTCCAGCAAAGTAAAAGCTAATCTTTCAACAAAAAATGTAAATAAATTTTAAAATTCCTGAGTGATGGTGAGGCAGTATAGAGTTAAGGAGTATAGAGTTGTTGGAAAAGCAAAAATACAATAAAATAAAAATTCCTATTTATATTGAGACTACCTAAAATGTAAGACAAAAAAAAAAAAAAACCTGAAAGATAACTGCTTATAAATCGTCACAATAACCCTAAGAAGTAGGCTATCTACAATGTATACAAATTAACACTTATCAACAATAAGTTATGGTATACTTTAACTCAAAGAGTAGAGTTTAAATGTTCCTGACACAAAGAAATGTTAAATGCCTGAGGTGATGGATACCTCAATTACCCTGACTTGATTAATTCACATTGTATGCCTGTATCAAAACATCACATGTACCCTATAAAGGATATACAACTATTATGTATTCATAGTAATTAAAAATAATAAATTTTTAAAAAGAAAGAAAGTGAGGCTTAGCAGTTAAGTAGGATGCTCAAAGCCATACAAGTTGTGGAGATGAGGAGACACAGTGCAGATGAGGAGACAAATAATGCAGGTCAGTTTGAATGCAAAGCCTAAACAATTAGTCATAAATATAATTTTTTGAAAAAGTGCTATCAACTTGAAACAAGTTGTCTGTCTGGACAGCCTATTAGCTACCCAGATTTAGCTAATCAAATATGCGGATTGTAATAGCTGTGTTAACTGGTCAGAGCTCCATTCCAGACTGAGGCATTCATTCCCCCAGCAGCTAGGAGTATTAGGCTGCTGTGCAGGTCAAACTGAACCCCAATCCCAAGGTCATGCCCCCTCCCAGGGGCACCCTTATCCAATGACTGTTACATGGTGACTGTGAGGGTATGGAGGTTCAACCCAACCCCCTTGTGTCAAGGTGGGGTGAATCTGAAGGGCCATCTCAGAGCTCTAGAGCTGCCTTTGGGATCAACTGATGCCTTTGGTGGGGCTGTATTACACAGTTCAACTCTTACTTCTGCCTAAACCTGTCTTTCACTCCCCAACACGTGTTGATCCTGAGGGCATCTTCCAATAAATTTCCCACAAGCAAATCTCCACCTCAGAATCTGTTTCTAGGGACTCAACCTAAATTGGCACAGGCCTTGCTCAAGTCATTGATAAAAATGAGACAGGGCAAACAGGGCAGCACATGATGGGCATTTGCTTAGGCGGTCCATGAACTCCCTGGATTGCTATACAAAGCTGTATAATTGCTTACATACGTTTCTATGGGGCAAGAAACAGCAGTTATTGCTGGCTTTTCTAAGGAATCCATGATCCAAACAAGACTGAAACCCACAACACTGTGGACAACAGGCTGACACTGATCCATCACATAAACATCAACTTTGTTTTTAGAGTGGTTGTTTAACCAGATATAAATCCATCCAATTGTCTCACTCAGCCCACTTTTCCATCGTTTAAAATATATACCATGAGAGATGGTGTCAAACACCTTCTTGAGTTATGTATGCTACCCTGATACACCTGTCTAATTCAGCTGAGTGTTAAATTGACTCTGTTGAGGCAGCTACGTGCTCTATGTCCTTGAATTCCTTTTTAACCACATTTTTAAAGTGTTTCCAGGATAAAAGGAATGGAGAAGGCAGAAATAAAATAGGACTTGAGTAATTTTTCTGTCTGCTGTCAGTTCACAATAGCACATCTGCCCCCCCCCTGTGAGTCTATCACTTTTTCTTTGTTTCCCTGGCCCAAAAAATACCTAAAAGGTTTTCTGGGGTTGTTTTTAATTATTGAAGCTATTATTTCTTTATTCTGGCTTCAAACAATCTTACAATCTTTGTCATCCTGGGACTCCACCCACGCAGCCCTCTACCTCGTGATTTGCGGTAACATTACCACTCTCTCGCCAGTTGTGCTCTGGCTTGATCCGCGGAACCCGTCCTCCTTTCTCTTCCCATGTTTTCCTACATGTTCTTTTAAAATATAGGCTCTCAGAAGGAAGTTAAAGATTCACTGCCCTACTACCTTAGCAAAGCACAAAAAGCTTCTTCAAAAAAGCTGCGCGGCGTACCATTTCCCTTCTTTAAAAGCGCTCGATTATCACTGACCTGACGAACTGTAGAGACCCCAGAACCTGGTATCGAGGAAACGGGTCACAGGCACGCGGCTGGTACAAGTTCCGTCTTTGAACTGCAGAGAGTGAGAGTTTGAGAATTAGTGACTGGAGTCAGAAATCGAGTGGGAACAGGGCTGCAGGGCGGGAAGAGAACATTTTCGCAGCGAGCACAAAAGCCCTTGGCAACTAGCGCCGGCCGCGCTGCGCGCCTGGCGGGGCGCCTCACTTTACCTCACCTCCGCGGAGAGGACCGAGCGCCTCCGTCGAGCAGCTGGGACGGCGGTATCGGCGGTAGGCTCGCGCGGCGCGAGTGCGATGGCGGATGCGCACGCGGTCGGCTTTGAAGTCCTGCAGGAGCAACCAGGAAACGTGAGAACACACCCTTCAGGTCAGAACGGGAGCACTTGGAGTTCCTCCTGAATACTGAAGACGACACACATACACGATCACACACACCAACGACACTTGGAGTTCCTCCCTGCAATACTGAACACACCACACTACGACACACCACACTTGGAGTTCGTCTGAATACTGAGAACCCCACACAAACACACACAACACACACACCACACACACTTGGAGTTGCGTCTGATACTGAAACCACACACACACACACACACTTGGAGTTCGTCCTGAATACTGAAACCAACCACACACACACACAGCACACACCGACCACCACACACACACCTTGGAGTTCGTCTGAATACTGAAACCACACAACACACACACACACACACACCACACACTTGGAGTTCGTCAGACATACAGAAACACCCATCACATGCACGGCCGAGGCACACAGGCCAACACGCACACACACACCACACACACACACCCGACGACTATATCAGAGTTTACACTACACAGCACCCACCACAACACACGACGACTTTCAGAGTTTTAGAAAGAATGTGACTTCTGTGGGCTTTGAAAGACTGAGTGACAGATTTTTACAAGTTACTAAAAATGTTCCCATGACCATTATGTGAAAATGAACTCTCTCTCTGTCTATTATATATATATATGTGTGTGTGTGTCTGTGTGTGCATTTTTTAACCACCAAAATTTTTTCCAATTTTGTTCTTTTTATTTATTTATTTTATTTTAGCGTATTATGGGGGTATAAGTGTCAAGGTTATGTATATTGCCCAGTGCCCCACCCCTCGAGTAAGGCCTCAACGCGTGACCATCCCCCAAACTTGCACATCTCACTCATTGTGTTTGTATATACCCATCCCCCTCTCCCCCTGATTTTATTTTTTTTATTATTTATTTTTGAGATAGAGTCTCGCCTTGTGCTCCAGGCTAGAGTGAGTGTCCACGGCATCAGCCTAGCTCACAGCAACGCTCAAACTCCTGGCCAAGCAATCCTGCTGCCTCAGCCTCCAAGTAGCTGGGCTACAGGCATGCACACACCATGCCCGGCTAATTTTTTCTATTAATTAGTTGGCCAATTAATTTCTTTCTATTTATAGTAGAGACGGGGTCTTGCTCTTGCTCAGGCTGGTTTCGAACTCCTGACCTCGAGCAATCCACCCGCCTCGGCCTCCCAGAGCTCTAGGATTACAGGTGTGAGCCACCGCGCCCGGCCCCACCTGATTTTAAATGAAATTATTCCCCATGGTTGAATTCTTCTTAGTAGTGTGGAAGAAAAAAATTTCTGTAATGCAGACAAAATGGCATTCCTCTCAGAAAAAGTTGGCCATTGTCCTAGCTACTAAGTAGCCTGTCATTAAGAATTCAATCTTTATCTGAAACTTGCTAAGAGTAGATCCTGAATGTTCTCACCACAAAAAAAAGTATGTGAGATGATAGATATGGTAATTAGTTTGATTTAATCATTTCACAACGTATATATATATCAAAACAGTATATACAATTTTTATTTGTATACCTTAATAAAATATACCTTAATAATATACCTTAATAATAAAAAATATATACCTTAATAATAAAAAAAGATAATATAAATAATAATAAAAAAAGAATTCACCTAAAGATGGGGGCAGAGGGTAGCTGGGGTGTACCAACCTATTTGACTGGGGTGGGAAACAAGCATAGGTTGCAGAAGCAAAATAAAGCAGGCACTCACTTCTTCTTAACCAATTATGTAGCAAGGCAAAAAACAGTTAATAGGTATTGTGCATCCTATACTGACTGGTGGATAGGAAATCCTGCTATGCTTTCCAGAAGCCTGTTCAGATATGCTGGTTGTATGACAGGGATTGGATTGGGCTTATATGACAAGAGTTTTTGTGGTCAGTATAATTCTCTTGGTTTTAAAATAATGGATAAAAATAACCTTTGTCACCAATCAATGAATATCTTAGAAAAAAATTATTTTAAAACTGACATTAATCATCGAAAGTTCCTTTGTACTTACCACATACAAATAGGCAGCTAATGGGAGATGATAGTGATTGTGGAGCACAATAAGAATAATTAGCTTTAATACACCCTTATCTACCTCTTTCCATACAGTCACCTTTAATGTTGGTTAAAATATAAAGACAAATTAAAGCACTACATGAAACACAACTGAAGAGTAAGAATGGATTACTTATAAACACTAATAAAACTTTTGTAAAAAGATTTTCAAAAACATACTCACTCTATTTTAGTGTATGGAATCTCTCTTAATTGTTCTTCTGACAATCCAGATGGATCTACAAGTTCTTTTCTAGAAAGGAATAATCAAGAAAATGATAGTTGTGATGTTGGTATAAATGCTAATATCTTTTACAATTGGCAGATTAAGTTTTCCCTTTGAAACCTTGTCCCAAAACAATGTTAGCAAAACTAATATAAGCTGGAACAAAGATTTAAAAACTAGAATGTGTTCAAGAAAAAAAAACAGAAGGGAACAACTTTTCCTGTAGCTTTTTTGCCTTCTTTTAGTTTTTCTACATCCAGACTCTTCAGTCATTCCCTGTTTCTCTATAAAAGATCTGCTTCTTTCCCCTGTGGTGGTTGTCTTTTTTCTTCTGAATTTGTTTTCCTTGGTATTTATTTCTAATTTTTTTGGCCTGTCTGAGGTCTATTTACAGGTGAAACTAAGTGACCTTAAGCGAGAAGGTGCCAGGGCTGCCTGTAGACAGGTGGCTGGCATGGTAAGGCACCGCACCTTGTACTCCGCATAAGATGGTGACAATGAAGACTGTTTGGCAGGCTTCAGGCTGAGGCTGCCTCTCAGTATCAGGGGTCTGTCTTGTAGTTTCATTAAAACTACGTGGGTTTTAAAACAATGAAAAAATCAAAACCCAGTACTCACTGAATATGCTTCCATAACTCTTCTTTTGCTTGGATATCGGGGCTTCTCCTATAAATGGAGAAAACAACACTCATCTCAGCAAACATGCTTCATCTAACAACCTAATAGCTAACTTTAACAGTTTTCAGACTGTGAAGTTCTTATTTGCCAGCTGAGACCACACAAAGAAACCTCGAGCAAGGAAAGCTAATGTGATGGTTAGTACAAAGACACCAGGTAATTTATCTGCCACTGCCACTGAAGAAAAATCACATAAACCCACTCATAACCAAAGCTGCATTAAATGAAAGAGCTCAGACTTGCACAGCCATGTGCAAACACCTCCAGTGGTGACTGTACAGTGAAGAATGATTCGAGGCTTCTGTTCCTGGTCCTTCTATTAATATATATTTACAAACACAAAAGAATTCACCTGATTCTAAACCGTCCCAACATGACCTGTGATTACCCAATAGAAGCAAAAGCCATAAGGGAAAAAGCAACTGATGGGATGGCCCAGGTGACAGACTATGTACCAATGACCCATCTCACGTTATGGCTGGTGTTGCATTTCTGCACCAAAACCTGGCCCTGCAAATGCTACAAGCTAACTGTGACCTTGGCTTTTGTTGCCATTCTCTATATTCCCAACTATCGACCTCACAAATCTTTTCTCTTCCAAGAACTACCTGAGTAGACATATCACTAACTTCCTAGAACAAAAAAAATCAGCCTTCATGTGTTTGCCACGCTCTATCAACTATTATTCCACACTGTAGCAATGAACATTAGAAATCTATTATCACTGCAATTGTTGCCACAGAATTTTTTTTTTTTTCTAGCGAGAAAATAAGCTTTCCTCAGTCCCTTCAAGAGAATTGGGGTCTAACAATAGGCCCAAAGAAAGCACTCAAACTCTAACAATTAAAAGGTCTGGGACTAAGCAAAGACACTGATATACTCTGTCTTGTGGAATTTTACATTATCAATCTGGTGAGCCTTTTGGAGGTTCAGTATCACTTTCAACATATGACATTTGCAATGCTTTCATTTTTCTCAGTTATAAGGGCACCACTGAGGCATTCTGACAGGGTCTTCTGAGCCCACAGAATACAATAAGCCACTTTCTAGCCAAAGAATTGACTAAATGGTTTCTCTTTTGCAAAAAATAAAAATAAAAAATAAGAATAATCTGACTATGAAGACCTTTCAATCAACTTAAATGGAGACAAAACATGGAAGATAAGGAAGAAGAGGTGAAGCCTTGGTCTTAGACCAAACATGGTACTGTTAAGTGTAGATTTTGTTATAAGAATAAAAGTGTATGTTTAAAACAAAATCATGAAAACTGCTTCTTTAGAAGGATTTCCTGTTAGGAATCTACCTTTCCTACATTTATTTGGCTGGTCTGATTAGCTACATAATATGTTAACCCATTAAATGATACTGTCAGAGAAGTTGCTAATATTAAAAAGCACTAAACTGTTATTCCATTCTGAGAGAATGATGGTTCTGTTGGAACTGTATCCCAGCATCGGACTCTCACAGAAAGTAACCCAGCAGTCTAAAGCAGAGGTGGGGAACCTGCAGCCTTAGGCCACACGTGGCCTTTGAGGTCCTTAAGTGCGGCCTTTTGACTGAACACAAATTTTACAGAACAAATCCTTTTATTTTTATTAATATTTTTTTGTTCATCTTTTATATTTTTAAAATGGACATGTTTAAAATACCAAAGAATAAAATAAGTTACAACAAAATAATCCTCCCAGACTGACCAGCACAATTAGAACATTAGTAAACCCTAAGGGCTAAACTAATGGCTACTACACTCATGATTTTGTTCTAACTTCCCCCGCCTGACTGGCGCCACTACCCCACGAGGCTGGTTGGCAAGAGTTTATGGGGGTCCGGTACGCCAGTCTGTTATCAGCTTTTGACAATAGTGCACTGTGTTTCTGTTTGAAGTGGAATTCATGAATAGTTGCACAGCTCCACAGTATTTTTTAATTCTGTCTGCTTAACAGCCCATCATGTCAAAGACGACCAAGAGAACGATGAAGGAAGAAAACAGACTTTTTAATAAGGATTGGGAATTGCAAATATCATCATTTCTGCTAAAGATAAGATGATTTGCTTGCTTTGTGATACTGCACTGTCAACATTAAATTCAATGCTCATCAGCATTATAAGACTCATAAGAACCACAAATATTTTAAATTAGAGGGAGAGGCATGAAAGGTCATGGTGCAGAAATTAAAAGATGAAAAGCAGGCTCCCAGGAGTCCATACTGACATTCTGCAGGGGCTTGTCCTACATGGTTTCTGTGTGAAGTCAAATCTGAGCGACATGGCTGGGTGCGGTGGCTCATGCCTGTAATCCTAGCACTCTGGGAGGCTGAGGCGGGAGGATCGCTCAAGGTCCGGAGTTCGAAAGCAGCCTGAGCAAGTGTGAGACCCCGTCTCTACTAAAACAATAAAAAGAAATTAGCTGGACAACTAAAATATATAGAAAAAATTAGCCGGGCATAGTGGTGCATGCCTATAGTCCCAGCTACTGTTGAGGCTGAGGCAGAAGGATTGTTTGAGCCCAGGAGTTTGAGGTTGCTGTGAGCTAGGCTGACGCTATGGCACTCACTCTAGCCTGGGCAACAAAGTGAGACTCTGCCTAAAAAAAAAAAAAAAATCTGAGCGACATAAATAGTTCACAACTCTGTGAAACAGAAGAGCTGTGATTGGTACTAGAATGAGGACCTTTAAAACCTCTTGTTCTTCATTAAAGTTTTCAAAGTTAAGTCTGGTCCTGCAATTTGTGGAAAAGAGTATTTGCATAGAATTTCCCCCATGCTGCAAAATGACTGTAATATGAAGATGTGGTAGAACTCTAAAAACAAGCAGTAGAGAGTGTTTAGAAAACATCAAGAAAATAATCTCACCACCTTAAGGAACCATTGGAACTTCATGTGTTTTCTAATATTCCTCGCTATGCATGGATGTTTTTTGTATTAAATAATATTTGGAATGATAAAAAAAAAGATGAAAAGCAAAAGCAAAGACAATTCTTTCAGACAGCAACAATATCTGGAAATAATGCCACTGAAGCAACTTATAAAGTAGCTTATATACTCAGGAAAAAAGGGAAGCCATTCAGCATTGTGAAAGTTTTCGGTTGCTTAGACCCTTATAACATTTCAAAGTACAGCTGCCTCTTTCCAGGAGAACCATAACTGATCAGCAGCATGAATTAGTCTTTAAGTTAACAGTACAACTTCATGCAATACTCCAAAAGGAAAATATATATTATTCAATCGCTTTGGATGAATCAACTGATACTACTGACTCAGCACAGATTTTATACTTCATTTGGGTCATACAGAAGATTTTCTTTGTTCTGAAGAGTTACTTGCTTTGGGCACTCTTGCAAACAGAATACAGGGAATAGCTACCTTCAACAACTTTCAAGATAAATGTTGGACTTAATTTAGTAAATTTAGTGAGTGTATGTACAGACGGTGTGGTGCACCTTCCATGACAAGAAAATATGAAGAGTTTACTGCAAAAATAAAAAAAGTACTGACAGAGCCAAATGCTCTCATCTCTTTTCATTGCATCCTGCATCAGCAAAACCTCTGTGTTAAAGATATTAATATTTTAAGTGACACTTTGCTACAAGTTAGAAGTATTGTTAACTATATTCCTGCAAATGCAACATGGCATCATCAGTTTTGTAATACGCTAAAGGTGAACAATGAGGTATGCTGTGTGCATTTGCTTTATTCTAAAGTGCACTGGCTATTGCACGGACAGGTGTTAGCCAAAGTTTTATCTCTGTGAGAACAGATTGTTAAATTTTATGAAGAACAGAATCAGCAATGTGAATTACTGAAAGAAAGTGTCTACAGAAATGTACCATTTCTGTGATATCATGTCAAATCAATACAACTTGAATGTTTCTTTGCAAGGTAAAACTAACTCTATATATGATATGTGACCAAAAAAAAATCCAAGCATTTCAAAAAAAAAGCTATCTTTTTCTAAAACACATCTTCAAAAGGAAATTTCAGGTGAACATTTTCCCTAGTTAGCAAAGGTCATTAATGAGCAGGATGACATATGTGAAATCATTTGAAGAATATGCAGCTGTTATAGACCTATTAATTGGAGAATGCAATGAAAAGTTCACTTTGCGAATCATGACATCACACTCAAATTAGCATTTCAGCTTCACCTAGTAGATATCAAAAAGGCACCTCAAGAACTACAGATAGAATTGATTCAGCTCTCAGTAGATGACATTTTAAAGTCATTGTTTGATGCTAAGATAGATCCAATTGAAAATATGGAAAAATGCAGAATACCCATGCTTTCAGCAACGTGCTCAAAAAATGTTTTCTTGCTTTTCAACCACTTATTGTTGCAAATCTACATTCTCCTACCTAACCCAAATCAAGACACTCTTAAGGTCACAAATGACTGATACCATCTAGAGGATCAACTGTGGACCTCCATGCTACAACCAAATATTTAAATGCTTTCCAACAAAAAGAAGACACAAAGTCATTAAAAAGTTAACTTTACAAAATCTAGGTTAGAAAACTATTCTAACTGATAATTATTCTTATTTCAGGGAGGTACAATAGTAAGGGTATTGGCTGTCTTCAAGTTATAGCAGGGTTTCTCACCCACGGCACTACTGACATTTTCAGTAATGACTCTTTGTTGTAAGAGGCTGTCCTGTGCATAGTAGGATGATGAGTGTCACCTCCCCAGTGTGACAACCAAAAAAGTCTCGACATTGCCAAATGTTCTGGGGGTGGGAGGACAAAATTTTCCCCTGTTGAAAACCATTAGTCAAGTATATGACCTTGGAATTAAGTGGCTACGTACAGTTAGGTGGTATAACTGAGAGCCTTGTTATTGTAAAGATCCTTTTTGTGAATACTGAAATAATGTTGGAAAGAGCGATGATAGCAGGAACTAAATCTTCCGTGAGGAAAGTGACCTAGGGTGCAGCTGATGACAAGTAGTAATACAAGGAGATTTGTTAAGTGGTATAATTTGGTGGTATGAAA